AGGGAAAGACTGTGGTCTTGAAAAAATTTCTAGTAATTTCATAAAAGGAAAACAACATTTAAAGCATATCAAAATAAACTTTAAAATTCTGATGTTCTAAAGTTTTCTAGTAAGTTATACTTTTTTTTCCCCAAGATATGGGATTAATTTAACAGCAAAAAAATACATAAGATTTTCTACGCAATCTGCCTGGAAAAGATAATTAATTTCTTGGCTTTGAATATACACGATTGCTTTAAAGAGCCACACCTGGTTGACTACTGATAAACTGAGGTCAAAAAAAATAAAATTCATTAACTTGACAGAAGCCTAATCTGACACATTCACAACAAGCAGAGTTTCATTTATAACAATTTATACTACACTAGATAGAAATTTCACCCAAAATGAAGGAGCAGTGAATAATTTTCTTCATTCAATAGGAAACATGATTTTTAACCTCAGACTCATGATTTCAGATCATCCTTGTTTTTTGTGGTGGTCCCCCCTGAAAGTGTATCCTTATCAAGGTTATGTTGTAGATCTGCTGACGTGTTGTTTGAAGAATTCTCAGTGTCACATAAATCTTTCTCTATAGTGCCTGGGTGATTTCCACAGTCATTGTTCAGATTTTCGTCATCTTTTTTGGAATGAGAAGTGTCCTCCTTTCTTTCTGAAGTATCACTAATTTCTTCTGATTTTGAAAGCTGACCAGTATCAGTATCACTGTTCTTTTCACTGTTGTTCTGCCTAATAGCATCACAATTCATTTCTTGTTCATCCTGGTCATTGCCTTCCCTGCTTTTTGCAAGTTCTACCTTTTTTTCTTCAGTTGGTTTACCAGCTGAGCTTCCGCTTGCTGGTGTATTCTTAGGCTCTTTTGGTTTCTTATGCTTAGAAATACAACTGTTGTGAATAGAAATTGGAGATGCTGGCTTTTTATTTGTTTTGCTTCCCTCAGGCTTCTGTTTTCTTGCGGGTCCCCAGATAAAATGCTCTGAGGGTGTATAATGTTGCTGGGCAAACCTCAGAAGTTTCCTCCTTTCTCTTCGGTCTCTAATAGTATACACAAAATATTCTAGAGCACTTTGCTTAATGTTGGGAATGGTATCTTCCACAAGAGCTTCATGGAGAATAAATTTTACCAGGGGAGATTTGAAACTCTCATATCCAAGCTCACCAAGACTTTTCAGAATTCGAGTGATTCTCAAGTAGTTGTGTTGAGACCTTTGGAAGAAAGGGGTGTAAAAATTCCACTGAATCAAAAAAACCCCACCACCTTACAGATACAGAACTGGAATTGCAATTCCTCACTCAATTTTCTCTCTCCAGGTGTGTACTTCAGGGTTCCTGTACTTTAATTTCTCACAGCTGCTGAAGCTTGCTAGCATCTCCTTTGCTAGGATATTGTGAGTGAAAATTAGTGTCTGTAAAATGCAACAGGCTGAAAAAAATAAAATCAAAGTGTGTACTGATTTTGATTCCTTCTGCTGTATATATTCTTCTTGAGGAGAAAACCCAGTCACTTTATAAAATATGGATTTTGTAGTGTATTGCAGTAACACAGCTACAGAACAGGATTCATGGCACTCCACTTAAGCTGGGTCTCAACTCTGGACTAGCTACCTGCACTTCTGCTACAGTCAGTGTTGGGAGAAAAACAGGCACCTCTGGAGAGCAAATCCCACTGTTTTAAGAATTGTCTAAGAGAAATGGACTGGACCGCCTTCTGGACGTGCTTGTGAAGAGCTCTCTCCCTCATAAAGTACAGCTAAGCAAAGAGTAAAACTGAAATGCCTAAATTTTAGATGGCTAAAGTTAGGTAAAAAGAATCACAATTCCTGACTTAAAACTGTGTAGCTACTCACTGGTGAGAATACAGGAATTACAACGTAAAAATGTGCAGTAAGTAACATCTGGGCTTCCTGAAATCCTGTTTCACCCATGGCCTGAGTCTGAGCCCACACCCATATTGGCTCATATAATATTTAAGTTAAATTAACAAAAAATTATTCCCATTATTCCCTCAAAATTATCCATCAGCAATTCTACCTACAAGCTTTCATTTGGACGGGAGAACAAAATACTGCAAAAACCCAATCTTCAGTTCTAAGGTCAGAGGTATTTGAAAAGTGATCACAAGATTTGAAAAGATATTTTGATATAATTAATCTGCATGGGACAAAATTCAGTGCAAACTTACACTCCACACAATGCTCATGAAAAGCGACAGATGTAATTTGATGAAAGTTGGGCTAAAGTTTGGCTTAATGCTTGTCTAAATCTCTCCACTTAAGCATCACAATTACAAAGTATTAAATACATAGTATTTCATATTTTGAGGAGGGTGGGAAATCTTGTGATTTAGTTTCTATACAGGTGCAGAGAATTTGATTTTTCTCAAAAAGAAATGTGAATACAAGGATAAGCCACCCATTCTTTCCAACTGAGAAGCAGCACTTTGGGATCAGGTGAAAATGGATTCAGTAGCATGACAAACAAATTAATTTGGAACTGTGATCTTCTACAGCACCATCTGAAGTTGTATTTTCAGGGAATTCACTTAGGTCAGTTAGACTGGTAAAGGGTGAGAAACACAATCAAAAAAAGGGGAAGGAGGAACGTACACATACAGGCACAAACCAGGCCTTGACTATTTCTTTTTGTCTTTTTCCTGGCCACATTTGGAAAATACTATCTTCCCTTTCTCTAGAAAACAAAGGGCTAAAGAGATTCTATGGCAATTCTAGAGAGTGGAGTGCCCGCCATTACTTACTCATTCAAATGCTGAAATCTTTCTTGCCAGTTAGCAGCTCGTGCTACATTTCCAGTTTTATCAATTAGTTTTATTCCAAAAAACTCCAACATCATTTTGTAAGCCAAAAGGAATCTTCTAATTGCTTCTTTTGTTTTCTTGAATTCCTGACAAACAAAGAATGCGTCCAAAATTCTAAGTAGCACTAAAGCAAGAACTTCTGCATTGTATAAAACAAGTCTACATAACAAAGAAGTTATGTATCAAAATTAATACGATGGTTTGCATTGAGCTCGATTTGTATTACCTCAATTTCATATGTAGTTAACTCTTTAGCATAGAAGTTCAGACCTTGCTCCCTCAGTGGGAAAAGCCTGTTAAAAGAAAAAAGCGCATTATGACTCATAGTGTATGATCATTTAATCAAATTAATGCTTTGAAACAGAAATAGGTAATAAGTGACCAACCACTGTATGTAAGTGTGGTTATGTTCCAGTTTTTCATAGTCTCCTTTCCATTTATTTAGGACTTCTTCAATATAAACTCCTGCATAAAAATAATTTGAAAACCGTTAGATAGCCATCAAAACCAGCGTTCAGCTACATAAAGTACGTGCCATGTTAACATAAGGATAGAATACATACTTTAATTCTCTTTCAAATGCTATGTGAAATGAGGTCTGCTACAGCCATAAATAAATTAAGTCTAATTTAAAATTAATTTAGTTACTAAAACTTAACTAAAAAGGAGAGATTTATCAAATTTCAATGTAAGTAAAACCAGCTGACTTATACTGAGTTACTTACCTGCAGAGGGTATGTGACAATAACCTTTGTAAAATATACTTCCCCAAAAGTTCTCATGTCCTAGATCCCTTTATCACGCTGACTGGTAATTAACAAACCACTTACATAAAATATTGCATTGTGAATCACCTGTCATTGCTTTAACATGACAAAGCTCTGCATATATACATAATCACCTTAGTAGAACAAAGCCTCAACTCCTCAAGAAATCTCCCGTTCCAGAAATGAGTCCAGCTGCAACTAACATTATGATTGGGAAATCTTTTTCAATTAGCTGTAGCCAAGCGCCTTGCTGCCGTTGCCATTAGTTTGATCTTGGGTTTTTGTGTCACGCTCAACGAACAATGGTCTCAAAACCACTAAAAGTCAGTTTAAAAGTGGAGTTCAGTCAGTTTCTCTTGGAAAGACACAGTGACAGAAAAAGGCAACAAAGTACACATAAAAGGAAATGAATTGTTCTTTGCGCTGCCCGTGAAATTCAGCCATGGGCCAGGGCACTTTTCCAGGCACTGCACAAATACACAAAGTACCTAAAAGAGCGTTTCTTGTTCCAAAACCTATACAGTCTCCCTCCATCAGCGAACATTCAGCTTTAGCCTGTTTCTACTCTGAAACCAAAACCAGTTTTACCACTGCCACGCAGCCTCTCCCCAAGCCAAACAGCATAGGAGCAGCCTAGAAAGCCCAAAGACCCACGAAGACAGTCTCCAACTATCCATTTGAGATCTCTCTCTCCACACCGAATGAAAATTTCCACTTGGGTCTCAGTGACAAAGGAGAACTCACGTGGTACTTTTCTTCAAGAAATGGAGAAAGCAGCCAGTCAAAAGGGTTTCAAAGAATGTAGGGTTTCCAGTGTAGGCAAGGCTGGAAAAGGACCTTGCCGAGAGGACCTCCCGCCATCACCACACTGTATCCAACCTGCATTTCAAGCACTTGAGAACTTGCTGCTCAATTCCAGAGCAGAGAGACAGACAGGCCAGCTCGGAGTCAGAACCACAAGCTAAATCTGTACGTCATGGAATTAAACTTCAGATCTAGTATTGCACTAGAAATGTCTTTTTTAAATAACATTTTTTCACATAACCTGACTTGTTTCCTCACTTGATGAGGATATTATCACTATCTCGCCTATAAACAGCTCTCATCTTCAGCCTTCCTATACATACATCTTTACATCCTTCTGTATAACATCCCTTCCCATCCAGCTTCCCATCAGAACTTTGGCATTTGGCATCTCAACATACTTTTTCCTGACCTTCACAGTGCCCTCTTGTCACGCTTACATCTACCCTGAATGCTGCTGATAAAATCATGTTTCTAAACCACAGCTTTTTTATATTGCCTCTTTCTTTGCTTTGCATCCTTCCATTGTGCAGCCCTTTTCCCTAACATCAAACAAAACCTATACACCTTCATTTCCAAAGCCTGTCCCTTCCTATCTTATCAGAACCCATTTGTTGCTATGAGACTGATCTTGCCTCCGACAGGATCCTGCCTCACTGGCAGCCTCCACATCTCCCTTCTGTACTCCAGTGTGCACTTCGGTATCTCCTCCCAAGCTGCTCTCATGCCGAGAGGATCTTTCTGCAAACAACTTGAAAGTAACTCTCAAAAGCTATTTTTGGCCTGCAGTTTTTGGGGTTTTTTTTGTTTTGTTTTGTTTTGGTTTTTTGCCAATGGCTAAGCTGTTCATGCGCAGAGACTCTTGTCTATCATTCTAACCAAGACTGTTTTATTGCCTCCTCCTGCATCCTCATCCGTCTGCTACCTTCTTGTCTCTCATACTTTGACTGCACAGTGTTTGTCATCTTTCAGCTCGTCCTGTGTTTGTGCAGAACCCTGCATATGAGGTTCCTGCTCCACTACCAGAACCACTAGGGACTTTGAGAAATGATTTTATTTTTGTTATTACAATAATCTCACATGAGGTAGTTACAACACATTCTTTTTCCCTTACACAATGCCAGGGATAACGCCCTGATCCCTGCCACTCCTCTTTAAGCAGTAAGTGTTTGTGCAGCACAGTGGAAACAACTTTCTCTTTGTTTAATAAAAGGCAGTGCCACTACTGTCAAACAGCGGCACAAACAACGCCCTGCACGCCATCGTGCTGAGAACACATGAGGAAAGCACCACCTCCCTGGACTGAAAGCTAACTTGGGTTTAAGCATAACCTGCTCCCATGTTGTCAACACGCCACTCCACCATGGGAAGATCAAGTCGTACAATATATAAGTATACACCTTAATTTGTCAGCACCACAATTATCACTTTATCACTACAGTTTCACTGTGTCACTATTATTAGTAAAAATGCTTTTGTTATCACTATGATTGCCACAGACTACTCACCATCAGGTTTAAAAGGGATTTTATTTTTGTAAAAGCGGAGATTGCACAAGTCATTTTGATATCGAAGATCTTTAAAGTTCTGCTAAAAGAAAGGAAATAGGACATTGTCAGCCTGCAAAAACCTATCAAGAGTATCCAGAAAGCAATACTGTGCTCTTTGAACAATTTGAGGATAAAAAAACTCCGGAGTTTTAGGAAGCACAGAGTTTTTACTCATGCACTGGCATACGTTGGGCCTGTGCATCAGCTTTTTCATTCTCATTTCTCCTATTTATTAGGCACCACAAAGGTTTAGGAACATTTGGGTTGTGTGCAGTCTTCTACTAAAGAGGCAATTTTAAACCATAAAATATTCTTACTGGATACTGGTGTCGGTACTTGTATAAATCTCTTGCCGCGTAGAAGCTTCTCTTTGGCTTGGCTGTCAGCTCAGTTCCATCACCACTCTGAAAGAGTTAGAAAGTAGGTAATAACCCTACACAAATACACTAAATAGCAAATTAGTGTAATCCTAAAATAATTATTTTTCATTATGGACTTCAGCAATGTAAACAAACACACGTGCATGTGCTTGCCCACTGTTTGGTCCAACACTGAAAATCTCCCTCCTGAATACTTAACACCACACACTTTAGACCTAAATTTAAAAATAAAATAAAATATAATTACAAAAGCAAGACTATGAAAATGTCCTTCCAATGAGACTGAATTTGATTTAAATCAACAGGTTGATTGTAATTTCCAAATGCAAGACTGCAAAGTGACCTAGCAAGCGCCAGCGCAAAATGAGATAAGTAACTGAACATGAAAATGCAGAGACACTACTCATTCCAAAGAGGAAATCATACTATTGCAAAGACTATTTGTCATGTGTAGATTGACTTAATTGCAATCACTGCATCCGGTAGAAGAAAATGAATAGTCATGGACAGGCCAAATTGCAGCTCTAACACCTTCTTGAACCGTTTCCTATTATTTGTTTCTCAGAACTTGAATTTAAAGCCTAGTAAGAAGAACCACTAAATCCCAAACCAAAAACCTGCTTAGAACTTGTACTGGCCCCCAGCTGTTCAGAAGCTGCGACCTGAAACAACCAGAGCCCATCACTGTCAATGGAAATCATCCCACTGACTTCAGAGAACAAGCTGCACACATTGAAGAAAAACAGAAAATGAAGCATTAGTGTACAGAGACTTCAACTTGCTACCAACAACTTAATTTTCTTCATAATTTCTTCATAATCATACTGCAACAAAGAGTTTCATATTCTTCAGTCTTGTAAAATAAGTCTACACTAAACCCAAAGGCCAAATGAGAAAAAAAAAAACAAAAACCCCACACCTAACAAGTGAAAGTCAGGCTTAAAAAGGGCAGTGGCTGCACTGAACACCTGCCTTCACCATTGCCCATCTCATTGCTTACCAACAGCACATTAATGACAAACAGCATCTGTTCTCACTCTTCCTTTTGCAAGACCAGCTTTGAGCACACCGACCGGCGGGACACGCTTCCTTCCCCCAGCAGCACCCCCTGACACCCCGTTATCAGGCATTAGCATCGCCATGGACCAAGCAGAGAGGGGAAAAACGCTTATGCTTATCTAATTCTGCCCAGCTTCTGAACCAAACATAACCAACACATCTGTCAGCGTAAGACAGGCCCCAGCTGTCCCCCCCGCTCAGTTCTAGCTCCCATAAAATCCCCGGGCAAGCAACCCCTTCTGTCTTCAGGGTGGGCATGTTTAAAGCTTCCAGACAGACACTTGCTCTGAAAAGTCCTCACCCCGGACCCACCTCGGGGTCGTGGATCTGCTCCCACACATGATCCACGATCCAGATTTTCAACCCGTTTAATTAAGAGGCCAAGTCCAAGACCACAGTTGATGTAAAGCAGAACCTTCTCTAGCGAACAGCAGCAGCGGGGCTGACACCGACTCCAAGGCCTCAGTTTTCTCCCGAGCCCAAGTTACCATCGCGAGGGGCAGA